CCCCGCCGCCCCGCAGGAAGGAGCGCTTCTGAAAGACCAGGCCGAGCGCTTGCCGCTAAGCAAAGCATGGAATCGCGAGGCGGGGATGGCAACCCAAGGGAAAGAAAAAACTGACGGCTGCAGAGCGGGGGGGGACGGGGGGACGGCAGAGAGCGACGGGGGGGGGGCCGCCAGGGAGGCCCGGGTTGTCCTGCTGAAGCTGGGAAGAGATGGTACCGGGGAAAGAGAGGGGCATCATGGGAAAATACACTTCTTGCTTGTTTTGAATTCAAGTCATTTATAAGCTAGTCACCCTGGTTTAAAACAGGCCCACAGGAAAGCACTATGAAAATAACTTGGAGGGATCCTTGCATTTCAAAATAAAAATAATCTCAAGTCAACGTGGCATCTTCTCAAGAAGCCTCTAGTAGAGCCGTGACTCATTTGTGGAAGAACCCAAGCCAATTTCGAACTTGAAACTTACCTTGCTATCCATGGTATTTGAAGAGTAATCCACAATTCCTTTTTAAAAACGCAGAACCGAATGGGGTTACTAACATACACGGAGTGCTACAATACACGTAATCATTCCTAAAATAAAAAAAAGTAAAATCTCCGAGGGACCATGTAATTCTGCATGTTTAAAAACAGATGTATTTCACTACTCGACTACACTACAGGAAGATCTATGGGAAAATGAAGTGGCACAAAAGTATCACGCGTAAAAGTTAGGTTTTACATAATCATTTTCACACAAATACCGAGTTTCAGTAGGTCGTATGCATGTGAAATGCATTTAAAAGAAGCTGTTTTTAGACCGAAGGTGGTGCCTAACCATTAACCAAATAAAACTACGTTATTTTAAGAGGAAAAAATCCCCCCAAACATGGACATACAGCTGTACCAGACTATTCTCTATTTATATTATTGACATCAGTTTGGTCCACGATGAAATGTCTATTAACAATACCTCATACTGCTCACACTGCATGACTGTGTACTAATTTGTAAGTCTGCATGTACGACACCCTATGTTCCTACTCAGGAAAATGTATAGAATATGAGTAAGTGTGACCCCATTGTAATATGAAAGCCAACAACTTCCAGTTTTAAGTGTATCCACTTTCTAAAATACCGCTCCCGCAGGCAGCTATCTAGCAACGCCATTCAGTAAAAGCATGAAAGCTCTAATGCTTCCCTCTCGGTAACAGGAAAGCATTAGTAGGAAGAAATACGAACTCAGTAAGAAACTAAACTTACTGTTTGGGGCCCTCCCCTGCCCACATTTAAAAGCCACAAGCACCTAGCTAGATGGTTATTTTTAGTGCAGGCTCCTGTTTAAAGAGGAGTAAGGAAACGCCCAGAATTAGAAAAAACAAATCAGTATGTGAACAGATCAAGTATTCTAAAACCAAAAAAAGTCTCTTATCATATTAACAGTAATATAAAAATATATCATTCTTGGTCATGGATCTTACTTGTTCACGGTTTCCCATTTCTTTTCAGTGCATGCTAATGAAAACAATGATACTTTATATTTTGTACTCACGTATTCCAAGTCGCACTGAATGGCAGTTATGCAGAATGATTACCAGGAGACTAAGGGCACATGTTAAAGTGTAAAGCCTCATTCCGCAGTAAAGTCCAGATCAATGACTACATCCAGTTCTGTTGTATAAACATAGACATTTTTTTCCCCTCTATGCACTATATGTAACTTTTGAAGTACCTTTCTGTCACAGAACGGATCATACTATGGCATGCTGCGCTGAACACCCTGTGGCAACATACATCGTTTGCTAACTGATCTCATTCTCAGTATACTCTTTATCTGTGCATTTACTAACATA